GCCCAGGACCCCTCTTTTCAAACTAATATTGCTCAGTTTTCGCTGGCCTCTTCACCTCCCTCTGCAATTCCTCTTCCCAGCCCACCAGCTCCAAAACCTTCCCCAGTATCTGCTCACCTTCGCCAACAAATCGTTGCTGGTAAATATATAGATCTAGCTGAGCTCATTCTACTACCACTCAACCAGCCCACTCCACCCAGGTTGATCGACAGCCACGACGGTCCCATCATCATGTGCGGCCCCATCTCGGGCAAAGGAGCTCACTGCGCTTGAGTTTGCTTTCGCCTTTTCACTATACAGAGGTGTTCTCTGCACCGCTTTCCCCTTCCAAACACAAGAGCTCGATACGTACTTGACTATAATACTTGATCTCACCCTATGATTCGGCGGCACCGGCTTTAACTAGTACCACATCCAGTTCGCTTCTCATGCAGCAGCTTGCTTACAACAGTTGATCAGGACACATTCAGGGGCAGTCTCAACCAGGAACTCTGGTTGCATCTTTGCTGCCCGTTTTTGTCTTTCCTGCAAGATATGCGGTGCTCCTGTATCATCCTGTATCGTTTGAGCCCAAAATAATTCACAGCCCATAAGCCGCACATCCACTCTTAACCGCTTGGCCTCAACATGTACACCAGAAATTTCAAAACACACAGAATCCATTCCTAGCATGCCTTTGCCACAAGGTACAGATAGGAAGGGCAGACCCGTCATGCATCCAGGAGGCCGCACCATTTGCAATAATTTCAACGATTCTGGTTGCCTCAGGTGTTAGTGCCGCTATCTCCACTCCTGCTCCTGTTACAACGGCGGCAATTCCCGCTCAGCATGCCCCTCATGCAATGACTAGCTTTACCCGTTTCGACACGCATTCAGAATCCAAGATCAAAAGAAGCCTTAAAAAATCACCCTAACCTAGACTTGGTCAACTTTTTATTCAAAGGTTTTTCAGAAGGTTTCCACCCAGGCATTGTCACTCAGCCATCAGTTTCTTGTACCTGTAGAAACCTCCAGTTGACAGCCAAAGAAGTTAGGGAGGGTTTCATGATTGGACCCTTTTCTAAACCGCCTTTTCCCCTCTTTTGCATCAGCCCACTTGACATCACAACAGAAATTATTCAGGCAAAAAGTGCAAAATCGTTGAGTTATCTGTGCCTCACGGTAGTCATATTGCGTGCATAAATAGCCTTGTTCCCAGCGATGATTATTCTCTTAAATACTCTACAGTGAACCATTGTTAAGATCGCTGGCAGAGGTGCATGGCTTTTAAAATGCCTGCCAATTCACCCTGACTTCAGGTGCCTGTTCGGAGTCAAGTGGAGGGATGTCTATTATTTCGCCGTCAGGCTAACCTTTGGTTGCAAAAGCAGCCCCAAGCTGTTTGACTCACTCTCTGAAGCTCTATGTTAGTTCCTTTTCTACAACCATAAGCTGCCATTTTTAGTTCATCTTCTTGACAATTTCCTAGTCATATCCCCTTCCACGTCACCGCCAGCTCATGAGTTATCCACCCTGAGGTCAGTTTTCTCCGAACTTGGCGTTCCAATTTCAGAAAAAAAGAGGGCCTATTGAAAAACTCTTGAAAACTCTTGAAAATCACTTTTGTCCTTCAAAACTTTCTCCTCATTGCCACATGTTCCAAACGACAGCTAGCCTCCCTTACTTAAACTTTGCACTATGGATAATTCCTCAAGACCGCTCTTTTATCTCTCACTTGCTTTCACTTGCAGCATCTAAACCATCACTCCGCAGCACTATCACGCTAGAAAACTCTTCCAAAGCCAAACTGCGACTCTGGCAACTTCTCCTTGCTAACTGGACTGGCATTTCTTTCTTTTATGACATTCAGCTTTACACAGATGCTGCCCCTTCTGCCAGCTTTGGGGGTTATTATGGCAGAAGATGGTTCACTTCAGCATGGCCTCCTGAGTTCTGCCACTATATCCAGGAATGGTTCCTGCCTTCCTCAGCTGTTTTCGAAATCTACCCAGTGGTCATCTCGGCCTTACTGTGGGGCCACAAATGGTCAAAAAGATCCATCCTCATTCACTCAGACAACCTCACTGTAGCTCACATAATCAACAAAGGCCAAAGCAATTCCCCTTCCATCATGCCCCTCATGCATCTGCTCATGCATGGCTGTCAGTCACCCACCAGCCTTGGGCTCTTATGCAGAGGCAGCTCTGACACTAGTTCTCCATTTTCAGCCACAAAATGCGTGATCTAAACCCTAGCATCGCAGAGCTCATCGACCTCTCCCAAGAAGCTATAATCAATAGTCTTACACTATAAAAATGCAGTCGAATTGAACATATGAGTCTTATAAGTTACAAATGAAATGAAATTCTCAGCTGTTGGTAACAATCTATCCAATCCACAGATGCAATGAAATCAAAACATGGATGTCCATGGGTTAAGTTATGAGAAATGACATAGGGAAATAGTCTTTAACATGCTTACTGAAATATATTTAATACTTTGTGTTGGTGGGGACAGCTTCAAGATACGTGAAGAAACTTTGCATGCATCAGGTGTGGTTGTGGCCCAATTTTCAACTGTTCTGATAATTCTTTATACTCCTGTGTCTAAAATCTTGCAGGGGGCATCTAATTGTGGTTTATGGTGAAATGATGATCTTTCCACTTCCAGATTATGGCCCCAACAGTGCTCACAGGAGCAGTGGCATCAGTAGTTTTTGCAACAATAAGGTTATGAAGGTCTTGAGAGAGCTCATTGTTTTTACCCATCATGAGATGTTTCTTGTGTGACATGTTGGTAATGACACGTTTTTATTGGCCATCAGTTGGGACTGAACCAGCTGATATTAATTTGCATGACTGCTTTCTAATTACTGATAGATTTCTGCTGGTGTCATGACTGTCCATGCCTTTTTGCACCTTGCCTTCTTCACGTGTTCAATAGTTTCCCCTGTTTTATTTCTTATTAATACACAAAACTTATGGACATCTATGGTTAGATTTCTGTGCATGTGCGATTTGGATTTTTTGTTACCGAAATCTGGTAATAATGTCAATAGCACCTGTTATGGGCTGGTGATTTGTTACACAAGACACACACATTGTGCTGAACAGACAACATTATTACAATTTATTCTGTCTGATATTCTCATATCATGTAAGTACAAGTATCTAGAGATTTGGACAAAATAGACCACCTGAAAATCAGCAAAAAAATTGTTCAGCGTAGTATGACTAGTTATAACTTGTATAGACATGCTGCCACACAGTAGAATGATGTATGTAAGGCAACTGCATTAATGCATTATTCCAAGTATCTATATGTAATATCTGTGGTTTGGTTATATGAGCGAATTTTGCAAAAAAATGGAGATAGAAAGTTCAAAATTCTTCCTTAAATAATTTCCAACCCAGGCTGGTCTTTAACTCATACTGTAAATATATAAGAGCATGCACAAGTGCCTGTTTTCTTGATCCTCCTTTATCAAGTGGCTTTGTGTGTCAGACCACTGGCTCATCTCCAGCAGATTGTCTCAACGAACATCTGCTTTATGTGCAAATGTTTTAACCTGCTCTCTGCCAGCTTCACAGGGAAACCATCTGGAGCATTAGAAGCAATGAAATGAAAATCAGTGCTTGTCTCTCTGTCCTTACCAAGTTGGAAGTGCATTGTACATTGGCACTATAAAAATGCAATTGAATTGAACAAAGTAATAGTAAAATGGCCAAATATAAATAAATAAATATAAATATAAATACCCCAAATTGTATAATTTGGAATAACCCTGTAATTTGTAAGTAAACGGTGAGTGTGATGGAAGATCAGATTAAATCACCAGGGAATTCCATACAGGGACAAGGGTCCAGTAATTATAAGAGCTTGTCTCTCAAGATTGGTAATTGGGTTTGTCCTGATGAACTACGGAAGAATGTAATCTTATCTGCTGGATGGAATGCTTCCCATTTCTATGTAGAAAGGTTGTGTATGTGTGTGGACAGCTGCTTGCTCTCTACAATTATCATGGTTTTGGTGCATTTTTATTGATGCTGCTAAATTCTCTCTTGTAGCATTGTTAGTGGTATTTTATCTGCATGTTACATGCACATCTCCCATAAACACTGCTGTTTAATAATTAATGCTTAACATTTATTTATCTCTTTTCTGTGTGTGCTCAGCTAATTTACTGGACCCTCCTTCATAATTATCTGAAAATGAAATAATATTTTGGAGTAAATTAGATGGATGTTTCCAAGAAAGGCCTATGCTGTTTGTTAATTGTAATAAGAGGAATTTGTTAACAAGTGTCTGTTTGGTGGATTCAAGTTTGACTAAAATAAAATGGGAAATTTAACTTGGATTGAACCAAAAGAACTTCCTATTTTTTCACTATTCTGGTTGTAAATCCTTGTAACCTGTTTTAGTCCTGGTTTTCAGTACACAGTGAACATCATGTATCAGTTAGTAAGTTTCTGTTCACATACGCACGTTGGTTGGAAAGATATTCATGAATATGAGCTTCAGTAACTTATAAGAAATTAAGTACAAATACGAGCAGTGCCTATTTCTTATTGTAGTAGACAATTAGTTTTTTATTCTAAAACAATAGTGACTTTTACTCAGTTGTATTACCAAAATCATTTCAAATATCTTCGTTTGGTTATACTTCAACAAGCAATTTGATAAATGGTTATATTTTCTAGATCAAAGACTTGGCTGAGAAGGTAATTTAAATGAAAATGAACCATCCCTGGAAATGCATTAAGCATTTTGACCAAGCAACACACACAAACTAATCATGAGAAATACTCGAAAGCAGAATGTGATGTATAAAAGTTTATATGTGGAATTTGTAGCTAATGTTTTCTGTCTGTAGGCAAAGAACCTAATTGTAGTGAGACCAGTTTAGTTTCCTGTAGGTTAAAATTTAAAGTTCTTTTCTAGTTCCAAATTGTTCAATTATTTTAGTTATTTTAGCAGAACAACCTTCTTCATCTCCTTCTTTTTGTTTGCAATCCCTGCAGCCATCGAAACACAGAGCACCAGTTCTGAGGAACTTGTCCCCAGCCCACCATCCCCACCACCCCCTCCTAGGGTGTACAAGCCCTGCTTCGTCTGCCAGGACAAATCCTCTGGATACCACTATGGTGTCAGTGCCTGTGAGGGCTGCAAGGTAGGACTCTTGTACTTTGTCACACAAAGTAATGAGCTTTTTTGTTTCTCTGCCATGCTGAGACCAGGGTTGTTTTTGCTGAAGAGGATTACACACAATTGCCTTTGTTTTTGCCTTTTGAGAACCTTGTGATGGATTTTTTGTTTCTTAATTGTTAATTTTTAAACCTATTTTTTCCATTGTGGGTGCCATGTTGCCTCGTAAGTAACAGCAAGACTGAGAGACAATGATACAGTGCTATGAAAAGAAAGTATTTGCCCCTTCCTATTTTTTTTTATTAAAATATTTATTTTCTCTTTTCTTTGTGCACATTTGTCACGTTTCAGGTCATCAAACAAAGTTTCACGATAGACAAAGATAACCTGAGTAAATAAAAAATGCAATGATTTGTTTGTTAAGTGAAAAAAACTACCCAAGACTAGGTTCAAGGTTCAAGGTTCTTTATTTGTCACATGCATAGTTATACAAGTATAACACACAGTGAAATGTAGCCTGACACGCTCCTCGACATGTGCAAAAAAAATACTACCTGACCCTATGTGAAAAAGCAATGGTCCCTTAAGTGATTGTGCCACTCTTGGCAGCACGAACTGCAATCAAGCATTTGCAGTAACTGGACATTGTTTTATTTCTGCCACATTTGAGGGTTTTCAATACAACTTGTTTAAGGTCATGTCTAGGCAACTCCAAAGCCTTTAAGAGGTGGATTCGCTGGTGTGATGTGTTCATGCTCCTGCTGTATAACCCAAGCACGCGTAAGTCTTTGAGGAGTTTCTGGTAGAGAGCAGAATTCATGGTTCCATCACTTATGGCTAGTTGTTTAGGCCCTGTCCCAAATCATCATGCTACCACCACCATGTTTGACTCTTAGTGTAATGTTCTTTTATGATATGCTGTGGTCATTTTATTCCTGATAGAATGGGATTCAAACTTCCAAAAAGCTACTGTTGTCTTTTCAGTCCACAGACAATTTTCCCAAACGTCTTAGAGATTATCAAGATTTTTTTTCTTGATTCAAATGTGCGACAGCAATGGTTTTCACCTTGGAATTCTGTCAATATCCCAGTCTCTTTCTTCCTGCTGAATCGTGAACGATGACTGTGACTGCTTAACTGAGACTGAGGCCCTTGGATGTTGTTTTGGTTCTTTTGTGAGCTCCTGGAGGAGCTGTTGATTTGCTATTTGAGCTCTTTGTTTTTAGGACAACGACTCCTGGGAAGATTCAACACTATTCCACATTTTCTCCATTGTCAGATAATAACTATCGTGCTGGTTCGCTCGAATCCCCAAACCTTCTAAATGGCATTCCAGATGTCAGTGACTTTGTTTCTCCTCTGTTCTTTCGTTTCTTTAGATCATAGCGGGATGTGTTTTGCTTTTTGTGCTTTTTGAGGGAACCACCTGACTTTGTCAGAATGTATTCCTTGATTCAACAGGTCAGGCCTGGGTGTTTCCAAATTATGGTTGCGTCCAAATTCATGGGCTGCTTCCTCCTGAGGACGCATTTGTAGACCGATTACGTCACAGCGACGCGCCGAAGGCTGTCCAAATTCATAGACTCCTCCGAATGCAGCCGACAAATGCGTCCTCCTTTTCCCCGAATTTGAAGGATGGGTCGGGTGTGTCCTTTGTGGCCCACCATATCCCAGAATTCATAGCGCGGCCCAGACAAAAAAAAGTTTCCGGCAATGGCGTCCGCTACTAAGTTTTAAAATTACTCTTATTAATCTTTCTGGGTCACAAAATAAACTTTTAACATATTTTCAGGCGAGAAAGTAGCTGTGTAAACATCAAATATCTGCTCGGTTTATCAAGATATCGCATATTTGCAAAAGTGTGCCGACGTTTTCAGAGACGTCTGCTACCCACCAGCTCGATAGCTAGCCAAGAGCTCGAGGGTCACTAGAGCCGCCGAGAACGGCACAACTCCCGGCACATCATTTTCAGATCACCGCAGACTTTTGCTACTCAGGTTAAACGTAATATATAAGTCACTTAGACAACCTACAGATGTTATTGTTGGGCTTTTTTCAGTGTTTTGTTTGTTCATGAGTAAATTGGTTTGGCTGAGATTAAAGTTATTAGATTAGATAAAATAAAACTTTATTAATACATCGGGTGGGTTCCTCCTTGGTTTTCACACAGCTGACTAAACTTCAAATAGACTACTGATTAAACAGAAGTATGAGATGCTCGAGAATTTACTCCAGTGTCCTGTTATATTTTAGATAGCACGGAGCAGACGGCCGAGTTTATTAAACTCCACCGAGACAGCGGTGACCCGACCTTCTGAGGATCCGGCCCACGTAGACCGCGAAGGCCGGTTCCTCAGGAGGATGCAGCCCATGAATTTGGACAGGACCTATGTGGTTAATCAAAGTTAATTTGTGATTTAACAAATGTGTGAAAAAAATAATTTCTGTAGTGTATAGATTTTTAGTTTTGTTTATGTTGGTTTTCAAAGCCTTAAACGCCATGAAGTAATTTTTTTATATATCTGCAGGAATAAAAAGATGTTAAGTGAGAAAATCTGATTGTTTTCCTAATTTGAGTTTGCCACTCCTTCGTTACACAAGTGTATTCGTGCCCCGTCTCTGTCTGCCGCTGTTCTACTTTTAGAAACTCCTCCCAACATCGGCTCTGGCAGCAGTTGTCTGTCTTCTGACACTTTCATATCTGTTGCTAGGCAACTGCTCACACCTGCATGCAGATAGACACATATACAAACAATATTCAGTAGGCCTGTGTGGAGTTTGGTGTGCTTCTTTAACATTTCTAATGGATTGATGTACAGTACTGTTAGTAGGAGCAGTAACAGAGTAATATAATAATATTTTCTGAGGAATCCACATGTATTTGTTGAAGGTGGGCTGTACTATTTCTTGTCAAGTTCTGCAGTTTTCCTTTCCATGCAGTCCAACTACGTGATGACCTCTCCCCCTCCTCTCTTTGTAACTGAAGCAGTGGTATGAGAAGGATTTTTGGAGTTAGAGAGGCGGTGATCCAACATGTCCTCATCCCAATGTGTAACATACCGACGACTGTGAGAAATCGTCGGTTACGCGCTGGGAATGATAATGCTCTGGGTCAAACTAAGTGCTGTGTAGGCTCCTATTACATCTATGTCTCATCATAAAGATCTGTCATGACCTCTGACCTTCTTGCTGTGACCTTGATTTAAGGAAAGCTCACATTAAGTGCGGCATCACACAAGAAGTATGGAAAACAAGAAGAAACAAAAGAAAATGAAATCAGGAATGGAGCATATCCTTTTTCACAGTGTTACTAACTCTGATGTTAAAGATGTTAAAATCATGGCCATATGTTTTGGGGGGTTTTTGTATTCTATTTGTTACAATGAATCTTTCTGTCTCAGTGACAAAAGCTTTTTCCCTGCAGTGCATGGGGCAAGCCCCCTCTTATAGGCTGGTGCAACCAAGCATGCAGTACAGCTGCAGGCTTCAGGCCAACAAAGAAGACGTTTTACTGCTCAGTGAATGTGCCAGTTAGAGCCACAGATACAGTCAAAAGCAGACAGTGGGAGATTCTGTGTGTAGGCCCGGTGGAGAAATGTTTGAGTAAACTTTTAAAAGTCTTCTATGAAATCTGGGAAACAGACACTATCTCTACTTTCAAGATTAGGCTTCAAACTTTTCCTTTTGCTAAAGCATATAGTTAGGGCTGGATCAGGTGACCCTGAATCCTCCCTTAGCTATGCTGCAATAGACATAGGCTGCTGGGCACTTCCCATAATCCACTGAGTATTTCTTCGCACACCTTTTTCATTCACCATGTATTGTGTATACACTAGTGGTGCAACGGATCATGGTTGATCCAATATCCGAACCGATATCGGATCAACTCCACGGTTCGGCACGCACGTGATCCGAAGAAAAAGAAAAAAAAAGTATCTGTATGGTGGCGTGGTGGGTCTGTCAAGCGATAGCTATGGTCAGCGCTAGAGGTCCAAGTGGAGGAGCAGAGGAGTTTGCGGCATTTAAGCAGCCCTTTGCTGCCCAGTCCGACCGGGCTAAAGCTATTACAGAAGCTTCTGGGTGTTTAGCTGCAGACGGGAGGCCGTATTCCGTTGTGAAAAACAAGGGGTTTAAACTATGATGAACGTGCTTGGGCCACGCTATGATATCTCGTTGCGCGTCCTCTTCAGTGACAAGATCGTTCCAAGCATGTATGAGCAGGAGAAGTTTAAAGTTATGGCTGAACTGTCCCACGCATCTTCTGTTGCCCAACTACGACCTCCAGGGCAACGGAAAGCCACGTGACCGTGACCGCTCGTTATATCACAGCGGAGTGGTAGATACAAAGCCCTGTACTGCCCTATAGATTACATTAGATTAGATGGAACTTTATTTATCCCTCGGGTGGGTTCCTCCAGGAAATTCAGTTTCCAGTAGCACAGCACCGACAGAAGTTACAGAACGTGAGCAGAAATATACCACATATAAATACAGAGACATATAAATACAGAGAACACAAAAGGAATAAATAGAATAAATAGGAATAAGAATACAAGGGAACGGCACATTTCAAGTATTGTGAGTCTATTACACCGTTGGATATTAACAAAACTATTGCACAGTGAAGAGGCACTACAGCTACTTGTTCCCCCCTCCTTTGTCCCGGTTTCCCCTCCCTCTCCCCTCCAGAGAGGAGTTAAACAGTTTGATGGCGTGTGGGACTTTTTAAGTCTGCTGGTCCTTGACTTTGGGAGAAGCAACCTGTCACTGAACAGACTCCTCTTGTTTATGGGCGTGCAGAGGATGCAGAGGATGCCCAACATGGTCCATAATGTCCATATTGCACCTTAATTTGTTTTTGTGTGGTGTGTGTGGAATGAGTCTTCAGTTGAATGTTTTTTAATAGGCAAAAAAATACTTAAATAAGTAAATGGCGAGTTGAAATTTTGTATTTTTTTTCTATTTTTAAGGATCTGAAAATTGATCCGATCCGTGACTTAAAACCGTGATCCGATCCGAACCGTG